CTGCTTTTAAAGTGCATTTGGATGGGAGGTTTTTGGAAACTTCTGACTTAAACCCTTCCTCAGAAGGGAAGAGACCTGTTGCAGTCGGTTCACTTGCTATGACAGAAATACAGAAACCAGAAGGGTTTAACAGAGACATTTCAAAAAGGTGAAGCAGCAGCTGCATATAAGTAAGATTATTAACCACTGCAATTTAAAGACCAGACTACTCATTTTCACCTCAAGTGGAGATCATGGGATGGATATTAAGGCTGGGAAGCCTCTGAAGGAAACAGACTGATATGGAGATACCTTTCGGGAGGCTTGGGAAATACTAGTTAAAATGAGATTCACGAGGTTGTGAAGATTATGCAGGAGTGGAGCCTGTGTGTGGCAGCAGGCTCCGTGGCTGCAGTGTTGGTGGCCAGAAGGCTTGGAGGGCCAACACTGTCACTCGGCAGGTGACGCGGCCCAGGAGCAGACGGAGCACAAGAGCTTAAGGCTCGTGCCAGAGGGCACAAGAAGATTGAGTGTCTCTTCCACATTTGCTCAGGGATGACCAGTCCTCAGGAGTTACCGTGACCTGCCTAATTACAGCAAATTCCTGCAGCTTCACCCGTGTCCTTCGGGGTATCTGCAGAGCAGCCTGTTGGGACAGGGACAGGCTTCTCCTGGCAGGTCATTACAAAGGTCACTGCTTGTTCTTTAATCTGCTGTGACTTAACCAGTTTTTTCCTTTCAGTTTGCAAGCCGGCCCTTTGGGGATTACTGCTGCTATACATAGGTTGCTCTTAGCTGTGTCCTGTTTGCCTGGGACACTTAAGAGCTGCATAAGCCCCCGGCCACAACACCTGCGTGTTGCTTGGCCATCGTTTTGGTTGCTCTTTGCTGGCTGTTTCCCTGTCCACGCTCATCAGGGTGCTTCAGACTGGAAGTAGATGGAGCTCCAAAGTTAGGAATACCAGCAGTTGGGCCCTTCCATGGAAAATCCATCCCAAAGGGATGGGTTGGCTGCTTCACAGGGGGGAGGCAAAACCACAATTTTTAATTTAAGGGCTTTTTTTAATGTTCCCATTTAGCTCACCCCAGATTCAGCAGCAGTGTTGGACAGTGTGTGCGTGTCTGTGCACTGATAAGCGGGGCCTGACCCAGAGCTTCTGCCCTTGACAGCCCCTTATCTCTGTGCGCGTGTTGCCTGCAGTGTCTTCTGGAAGGTGCTTGCGGGCTGGCTGTATAAACACGGGTACTATTTTTAATGCTGAGGTTCTGGGAAGGTCCTGGTTTAGTGGCTCCTCAAACGAGAGGGTACGCAGCAAAAGTCATTTCTTGACCGAAAAAAGTAGAAGCAACAACTTCTGTGTAACTGGCATAGAAATATCCCTGCTTGGGGCGGGTTGCTCACAGCCTCGCGCTTCGGTGGGTGTTGGATGCATCCGAGCCGGCCTCGGGATATGCTTGAAATTAGACCCTGCTCCTCCAAACTCATTGCAGCTTGAACATTGGATGCTTTAGCTTTCAGTTGCCAAGCAGGGTGTCGGGAAGGATGTTTTCAAGGTAACTACGGTGCACGTATAGGTTTTTGATGTTCTGTTTCAGTATTTCAGTAGCATTTGGCAACAAATGGGCTCTAGAAACTAATTATAAGCCTTTGAATTCCAGTGGATCAGGGCGCAGGCGAGGAATGTTATCCTAGATGAATCTGCTTAGCGCAGGCTGTGTGTGACTCAACGTTATTTTTCATGGGGCAGAAGCCAGCAGCTGCTAAAGGGATCCCGTGTTCCTGGTGCCGAGGGATGGACTGCCCACAAACTACAACTAAAGCTGGCAGAATCAGCTCGGGGCCTCAGAAAGCCTCAGTTTGCAACTTACTCCATAAAGGCCCTGTCTAACAAAGAAGCTGCTCTGACTGATGTGATTGAGGAGACCTAAGAGTTTGTTGATGGTGGCAGCGACAGAGCGGGATTGCTGTGAGATGTTTATTTGAGCAAATTTACTATTTAAGGTACCATCTCTGACTGGCTTTGAGACCTCTGTGTGTCTAGAGACTTGAGGAGCGTGTCTTGCCCAACACCTTGGATTGCTCCAAGGTGACAACCTGGCTTAGGACAGAAAATATTAGCTTTAAGTGTAGCTAAAAGCGACACTTCCTGCTGGCGCGGCGGGGATGAGTCACTGTGGTTTCGAGCGAATGGGCAGGATCTTCCTTTCATTGCAGCAGGGTTTTTAGATACACACTTACAGAGCAGCAGGTTCAGGGGTTGTTCCCTCTCAAACCAGCACTGAGAAGACGTGGAGGTTGTTTAGAATAAATGACCGTCTCCACCAGGATGGCTCTCCGAATTGGTCCAGCTCTTCCTATACCCGTCGCTGGTGCCGGAGGCCTCGTTTTTCCCTTGCTCACCCCAATGGGGCTGCTTTCAGGCAGCCTCCAGCCTGGGAGGAACCGTAGCCGTGGCTCTGAGATGGGACTCCGCATTGCAGGAAGGGAGTTTTGTTTTCGCAGCAGCTTGGAGGCCAAGTCCAAGTGGAAAGCCACGTGATGTGAAACTGTTGAACTTTCTCGTTCCATTCTTGCTGAAAGGAACAACAAAAATGTATTTTAAGAGTGAAGTATTGGAGAAGGGCACTGAAGGCATCTCTTAGGGGTGCCAGAAATGTTCTTTAGAGGCTCCCTCAGTAGCTCCTGGTTTGCAGGAGGCAATCGCAAGCAATATAAAGGTGTTGGTTCATTGGAAGGAGTTACCTCCCCTGTGTTTACAGAAACTTCTTTGAATTGCAGGTGCTTTTCTTTTCTACTTTTCTTGCTTTTCCCTTAAGAAAGTCCGACCAGCATGTAGAGAAACTGAAAGCAGTGTCAGATTTACTTTAAGGGAAAAAGAAAGGTTATACAGGGGTGTCAGTTGGTAGAAATTACATTTTAAAGGAGCACTGAAACTGGAAGCAGACTCAGGGAGGTTGAAGAAAAATGTGTGTTTGTTCTCAGGAAGTACTCAAAAACACAAAGAAAATGATAATTTACATTCTTGTGAATGTATGGTGAGGAATTAATTTAGTTTTAGGGGTTCTTGGAGACTGTCTTTTTGGAAAACCTCTCCATAAATATTGGTGCATATAACAGCAGGCATAACATTAGGAACATCACTGCAGAAGTTTGCCTGTGGAACAGCACTGTTAAAATAACCCCTATGCCAATGTATAAGAAGTGCTAGTTTTTCCAGCTTCTTAAACTCAGAAGGACGATCTGATACAGCTTTAAACGAAAGGGCAAATACTCCTGTAGCAAACGACCTGCTTGGCAGGGAAATGTGTAGTTGCCCAGCGAGTGCTGTGTGCTGGTGCCTGCAGCTGGGTGGGATGTGCTGTGCAGTGTCACTGCCACAGCTCGCTGGCTCCCAAATAACTCTGAGAGAGGAAATAACTTGCAGGAAGGAGGAAAAGAGGTGCCAGCACCTGCTCTGGCCCTCAAGCAAGTGCCCACTTGGAGTCTGCAGCAGCTGGATTTTGTTGGTGCCCGATGCTCTGGTGCGCGAGCTGCTGCAGCAACAAAATAGTCTGTGTTTCTTACCCAGCTCAAGCTGAGGAGGATGGAAAGCAAAGTAACCAGGACTAGGAGATTGTTAAACTGTTCTGAAATCTCGACGTGCAGCACTTCAACACCAGACTTAATCCCCAGTAGCTTTTTCTGATATTTAAGTGAAGCTATAAATGTTTTCACTGATTAAGACTTTTCTGTAGCTGCTAGTAATTAATGAATCTCATTTATCCCGGATTTTTTTATTTCCCTGCACCCATGCAGGATTTTGTGCCCATAGCCTCGTGTGGGATGCTCAGCTCCAAGCCTGAGACCCAGGTGTGTGCAGGTGCTCGGAGACCCGGGACCATCTCGAGCAGGGAGCGTGCACAGCAGTGCTGTGAGGGAGGAGGGCTGCTGCCTCTTATCGCAGATCTGTAATTTATTAGAAACAGCAGCAATTTCTTTCTCAAAATATTTAATGTTTTTCTAGGGATGAGATATGCAGAGCTTAAAGCTGCAACTGCAACTTTGTCTAGTGCTGTGGACATTCACAGGAGCGTTGTCCAGCCACTGGGTTACTATGTGCCCCTGTAAGAAGAACTGGGAGTTTGGTGCATGTGACTTGTGCTAAAATATAGCATAATATGTGCTTAAACAATGCAGCGAATACAGAATCTGAACGGAGTATTTTGTTGGTGGCAGCTGAATCTGAATGCCCTGTTCTTGCACAGATTGCAGCTGTAGGACTTTGCGGTTCATTTATAGACATCAGCCAACAGAGCATGAGCAGACTTTGACAATGTTAATATATCTTATTTTGACAAGGTCCATATTTCTACTTAAATGTAATAGCTCGTTACTGTTAACTAACTTGCATAATTCCTGCTATTCTTCTCTTTGCATGTTCCATTCTGGGATTTCACATGAGCAGTGAATGCTCCTTCTTCCTCTAATAACCTCCTCTATTGTTTTTCTGAGAGATCTGTCAATTTTATTGAGTAAATGTCACAGACTTTTAGACTGTTGACTCCCAGCGCTGGAGAAACAGCATGTCCTGCATGAAGGGAAAACACAGATATAAAAGGGAAAACACGGACATATAAATGTTCCATCATCATGCAGCTATATCTGTATATATTAGTAGATTGATTAAATTGACTTATTCCCTTGCTTTAGTGTGGGAGGTTTCTTGTATTATTTCTTGCATCAAGTATTTAGAAGCTTTCTAGGTGTAGAACTTGTAGGTGAATGTTCCTATGTGTTGAAGATAGTGAATGCTCTTGTCAATTAATATATTAAATTAGTTAAATGCAGAATTCAAAGTAAGTAAAAAGCTCTAAAGGTCCTGAAATGAGGAGGAAAAATGTTCTTACACTTACAGAAATCTGAAACTCCCAGTTCAGCACTGTTCCAAAACCAAACAAACCAAAACCAGCCCTGCCTTTCGTCAGCATGAACACATAGATCTGTTGCAGTTCTTAAACTCGGAGACCATGAACTAATACTGTTCACTCTTCGTGGTGTTGTGCGTTTTACAGAAGGCGTTTTATCTCCCAGCGCTGCTCTCTAGACTTTTTAGAAGACATAGTGGAATATGCCAGTGTACGAAGGTACTTTTTTCAAAAGCAGCATTAATCTTAACTCGTTGCATGCAGTCCTCTCCTCCTCCACCCTCTTCCACGCCAATATATGAGGTCCTGCATGCCATCTGATCATAAAACTGGCATGACTCTTAGGATTTTTTTGAGCACTTAAGGGTTTTTTTATATATATAATTGCAGAACCAAGCACATCTCGGGGTCTCCAAGACACAAAAGTTTGAAGAAGATGCACTTCATCAAGAACATGAGGCAGTATGACACGAAGAACAGCAGGTAACTTCTGGTAACTTTTACTCACGTGGAATAGGATCCTCTCAAAAACAGACCCCAGGAGCCATTTTGTATCAGTGATAATATATATGTGATGTTCATGCGGTCTTGTTAATTTTAAATATACATGTGTTAAATGCATTGCATGTTCATATTTGTTGTAGCTTCAGAAATCTGCTGATGTGGTTCTGCCATCCTTCTTTGAGGAGGAGCTCACAGCATTATTTATGTGATTTACAGAGCAAATTAAAAGAAATCTGGTGTTTGTGTTCCATAAAAAGCTGCTTTGTTGCTGTTTGTAACATCTGAACCTTAATTCTTATCCTGATGTCTTCCTGTCTACTTACAGGATAGTATTAATCTGCGCTAAACGAACACTGTGTGTGGCTTTTTCTATCCTACCTTACGGGGAGAGTTTACGGATCAGGTGAGTCATCTTTAACTGCTTTGTGAAATTTCTGGGATGTTGTTTGCCATAGAGCTTCTTTAAACTGCTACGGTTGTTCTAGCTCCCCAGTTCTGAGGCATGTGAATATTCGACTTGCCACATAAATATATGGACAAGAGCTTGTTGTCAGAAAGTAAAATGGGCCATTGGCCCAATGTTCATTGCAACTTCAAGAGAGAATACGGGAAAAGGGCAGCCTTCTCTCCAGGCTTCTCATGCTCAAGACTCCTGCCCAAGGATCCTGTACGATCCTTGTTACCAGCCGGGAATACATGGCGTGATTTGTTGTACTATAGGAGTATTTCCATACCCCTAAAGTAGTTGACCCAATAGCGTAGCAGAATGAGGAAAAGCTGCACCTTAAACATGTCCTTCTGTTGGCATGATGACCTGTCTGCACATACTGCCACTGCAGACCTGTCCCTTTGCCACTTTGAGCATTAACTGCTGATGCTGACAGAGTTCATAGAATAATCTGGACTCAAATACTGTTCTGCTAAATCAGAGCATCCGAGAATGATGTTTGCCTTCACTGCTGAAAATATAATGAATGAAAAATATAATGAAACTATATCTAAATAAATTTAAGATGCTCTGTTAGCTTTCAGCTCTTCTAAGCTGTGAGTGTCACTGTATTTGCAGTCTAAGAGAAGCTCAAACAATTTATCCTGATTAATATTGCATTTAGTTTATTTTGAGCTCCATTTTTGTGTAGAATTGTAAATAAGATCACTCGTGAGAAATAACCTGCTAGCTGGGTTTTCCTGCAGCTTTGCTCAGTCCCTTGTGAACTCTTAAAATGATTGTGTGAAGGTCTGTGATATACAAGTACACTATAAAAATACTCATTTTACTTCAATCCACTTCTGTCAAGACAATTGTGTTGTCACTGCTGCCCTGTACATAACATATGGCAGAAGGAAACGGATGTTTAGTGGTGGGAATTGCATTGTATTCAAATATGCTTGCTATAAAAATAGTCAATGGGGAAATATTCTTTCATTTTATGGAAAAGCAGCAAGGTCGCTGGAGTTATTTTAGAGTCGTTCTGAGCACTGTGACATTCTGCTCGTGTGTAAGCTGGACATGCAGTTCTTCAACTGAAAGCTGCTTTTTTGCACTGGAATTTAGGTGACAGTGCTGCCTGCTGCTATCACTGAAGCAGAGTTCTGCTAGCAAGCCTAATTCTTAGTGTGAGCTTTCTGCACAGTCGTTGGAAAATTGCAATTGAAAGGCAAGTTTCTAATCCTGGAAAGCTAGTAATATAACTCATGCTCAGTGTTAAGCATTTGAGCATTAGCATGTAGCAAATTGAAGGATTTTATGCAGGAAGACTTTATGTAAAAAAACTGAGTTTACTTTTAGCAGCTGTATTGGTAGAGATGTACAAAATGAGATGAAATCTGATGATTCACTTAAGAATCTCTACATTTGTGAATGGATTGTTCAAAAACGAATGCTCGCTTGGAAATGGGCTCAAGGGGATGCCCCGTTCCCACGCAGCGGAGCGCTGACCTTGCCGTGCTGGCTGCAGACAATGGTTTATCGTGGAGGAAGTTGGGCTTGTGCTGCATTTTCCACTCACGCTCTCTTGTCTGCATTTAGTGACCTGAAAATGGACGGCCAGAAACAACGACATCCTTCTGGGGGAGTTTCAGTCTCCACTGAGATGGTGCTTGGTCTGGAAGGAGTAGAGCTAGGAGCTGATGGCAAGGTAAGGAAATGCTTCACATCTCTTCATCTGTAATGCTGATGATGAAACTACTGACAGGAGTAGGGGAGGAAGAGCAAAGAAATTAGCCTCTTCCAGCCATGGCATGATGTGACCCTGGGGCAAATCATTTAATTTAAGCTGTGCTTCACCATCCATAAAGTGAGAGCTCTGGCTTTCAGCGCTGTGGAAGTTTGTATTTAAATCCTTAAAGTTTGAGGTGTTGGGACCGAGTTGTGATAATGGTCCTTGTCAGGAGGCTGTCAGAGTGCCTTATTTGTTTCTGAAATTTTATTTAATTCTTGGACCTTGGGCAACTGGTGAAAGATATAACAGAAATGTGAAGAAATAAAAGTAACATTTTCAATTAAATTTATGTGCTGCCTGAAGGTTGTTGATGTGATCCTCCCCTTCTCTTCCACCATCATCTAAATTGCCTACAACTCTTCCATACTGAAGTGATGGAAGAAAGGCTTTTCTGTGTCCAAATTCTTTCCCTTTCCTCCTCTCCCCATTTCCAGGTTTGCTAGAAACAAAGGGGTCTCCAAAACCAAACAGAAATTCCAAGGGTGTCTGTGTTTCAGAAAGTCTTAGTCTGAAAGAAAGTGTTTCAGACTTTCAGAAAGTCTGAAAATAAGTGTTTAATAAAGTTCCTTTTATAACTATTGCAGTTTTTTCTTATTTAAGGTTGTGTCCTATGCAAAATTCTTGTATCCAACCAACGCCCTAGTTGTCCGTAAAACTGACAGCCACAGTGTTGTTCCTGCATGCCGAGCTAGTGCTTCCCGGAGCCTCCCTGCAGCAAGGTACAAACCTGTGGCAGCAAAAGCAATACCAGCAGGAGCAGAGATAGGTAAGGTCTGAGCGGAGATTGCTCACCTGCACACACAGCATGAAATGAATGTGTTTCTTAGAAACATTGCAGTTGGTGAAATGCGTTTTTGGAAGGATTTGTTGCAGTTGGAGAGAGACTGTTTTTAACACATCCTAGCAAAGGTTTGTTAATGAAGTGCAAAGGATGAATCTCAGGAGACTTGCGCACATTCATTACATCCTCTGGATATCTGGCCTAGTTATATTTATGCAATTCAAGAAGTGAAACCTTCTCATCATAAATCTGATTTTCAACAAGAAACATCTGATGGACAGGTGGTTCTTCTTGCCTTCCAGTGCCACAGCAATGTCTTAATCAAAGAGTTTATGACAAGAATCTGTACTTCTTTTATAAAAGTGCACATCTGACAAACATACCTGAAAGATTTGAGTACATGTGAATGAATTCACTTTTGTGCTGCTGTTTCTTGCACCTGTCTGCAGAGTATGAACTATGAGAATCCGAGTCTAAAATGGTACATCAAGTATCTGTTATATATATATAAAAAAGTAAAAAACTCTGATTTGTTTTTTATTAATAATTCTAATAACTGACTGGTGTATTTATAGAATGCAGACAGGTGGCTGTAGCTGCAGTGTCTGCACACCCTAGTGTACAGGCAAACTCTTATATTTGCTGTTTGAAAGCTCTTTTTAAGAGGAAATACAGAATTTCTAAAGCTGTGTGCTTTCTTTATTCCTTCAGGAAATGAAGCTGGTGAAGCAACAGAATACGATCCAAATCTTCTGGATGATCCTCAGTGGCCCTGTGGGAAACACAAGCGGGTTCTCATCTTTGCCTCTTACATGGTAAGTCACTGACACACCTTTGAAGACCCTCCTGTAAGGAATTACTCCTAGGGAGAGGAGAACAAACAGCTATGGTGGGCTTTTTTTGAGAACTCATTACGAAAATACAGACCGTTGGTTTTGTACATTGAGCCTGTGAAGAACCAGCATGGCCTTCAAGTCCATGTTCCTATTTGTTATTTATAGCCATTCATTTACTAGGTTATTAAGACTTCAAGATTGTGGCAGAAACTCAGCCTTGGCTATTAGTTAGCAGGGCATTGCAGAAATATAGAATAGTGATTAATGAAAATTGGTTTTTCTTTGCTTTAAAGTATCCTTGAAAGGCTTGCCTGCTGTCAATACTGCTGAGAGGAGCAATGACAAATTTTGTCTCCTGTGTTTCAGACAACAGTCATAGAATATGTGAAACCCTCGGACCTTAAAAAGGATATGAATGAAACCTTTCGAGAGAAGTTTCCTCACATCAAGTTAACACTGAGCAAAATTAGGAGGTAAGAAACAAGAAGTGAGCAATGAGGAAATCTAACACTGTACAAAACTGCTTTCATCTTCACTTACATGAAGCAACTACTAAATCTATTAATAGTATATATGATTAAACACTAATCTCTTGCTGCCAGTTGAGCAGACTGTAGGATGACAGCCTTGTACAGGAATGCTTTGGATTCTGTGAAAGGGTAACGGTCTCCTCATAGTTCAGCCTAAAAGGGTATTGTTTCATCAACTGCAGTGTACGAATAGCTAATTAACAATGAATCAGCATTAGGCCTTGAAACAGATACTTGCAACCTAAGTGTTTGACTATAGTGCAGTTCCACTCTTAACTGGATTATCTCTCTGAACCATTTGGCTATTTTTCCCCTTTCAATTGCAAGACTAGCTGATGGACATGGACTCTTGCCATGATTATAGTATAAAGAGTAATTTTAGAACCCAGGAGCTCAGTAAATAAGGATGCTTCATGTGGGTAGGACTGTGCCAGGCAGAATTCCATGTCTTCTAGCAATGCTGCTGACTATTCAGCAGTGAGATGCACTGCTGCATCTAAAGAGAGCTGCACTCTTGCTGAACCCCTGAAACAGCCAGCTAAGAACATGATTCTGCTGAATCATTAGAGCTCTTGGCTCTGAGGGGAAGTCTTGCTCAGAGTCTGCGTTTTCTGCCAGCCCGTTCTGCGCATCTCTTCATAGCTGCTTTGTCGACTGTAGGTTACAGAGAGATCCTTGCATGTGTAGCATGAGTGACAGTGACAGAGGGTAGCACCTGTCCCCTGCCAGGTTCCTTTTGTGCTGGAAAGAAGGGCTCAGCACTGCAGGAAATATGTAACCAGCCTCCCTGCCCGCTCGGTCCTGGTTCCTTTAGGTGGTTTGTAGGATACGGGTCTTGTGTAGCTGTGTGATCCACACAGCTCTCAAGTGACACTGCAGAGGCCAAGGTGATTCAGGCTTACGATATGAATTGCAGGTGGGTTGGGGAGCTCAGAGGGAACTGCACAGCAGCAGGCAGGTGTCAACAAGGCACCTGAGGCGCGGTGGCCGTGGGTAGACGGGAGCGCTCTGCCACCGCGGATACTGTCAGCCGGGTTCACTCAGCATCGCGTCCAGCTCGCTGCCAGCTTCCACTCCAGTTAAGATGATACTCATCAGTTTTCCAAAGAGCAGTCTTGCCTGTGTGCTCATAGTTCCCAGGCTGTAGAGTTCCTAATGCATTTCATAAAAAACATTGTGTTTGACAGGGGTTTTTTGACAGGGTTTTTTTTTGTGGTTTTCTCTGTCTACAGCTTAAAGAGAGAGATGCGGAACCTGAGTGAGGAGTGCAGCCTGGAGCCAGTTACTGTGTCCATGGCTTATGTTTATTTTGAGAAGCTTGTTCTCCAAGGCAAACTCAACAAACAGAACCGCAAACTGTGCGCTGGGGCTTGTGTTCTGCTCGCAGCCAAGATAAGCAGTGACCTCAGGAAACACGAAGTCAAACACCTTATAGATGTAAGTACCACCAGGTTTGTTTCAGGTGTTCAGGTGTCAGGGCCTTGTCTTTATTATGTTGTACAAGATGAAGATTAAAGCCAAGGCTTTCAGTATAGCATGCTTGCATTTAACTATCAGTCAAAATCTCGTTAGGATTATTATTATTATTGTTAAATGGTATGTGGCTGATACACTCCCATGTCATAGTGATCCTGCAATGAGCTTACTTTTTAATCCATGTATGTTTGTGTGAGAAAGGGTAACTGCTGTGTGGGTGTCACAGCCAAGTTGATTGGCTGGTGAAGCCCTGATCACACAGCACTTAGTCCTATTTTATACTCACTTAATCTAACAGCATGTTGGTGTCTTGTGGATAACTGATTGTTTCTCTCCCTCTCTTTTATTTTTACTATTGTAGAAACTAGAAGAGAGATTCAGGTTCAACCGAAGAGATCTCATTGGTTTCGAATTCACCGTGCTCGTAGCTTTGGAACTGGCTCTCTATCTTCCTGAAAACCAGGTTTTACCTCATTACAGACGGCTCACGCAACAGTCCTAACCAAAGCTCCGGCCCGGCTCCGAGCCGGCAGCTCTGGGACGAGCATCCCTGGACGCTGCTGCTGCGCTCGCCCCGGCCTTCCTGTGCCGCAGATCCCACGTGCCCTTGTGGCTACGGCTGGTTTGAAGCCTGCGGCGTTTTTTAGACTGTCAGGGTGGGCGTTATGGGTCTGTATGCTGAGTCTGAGAGATGGTACGGAAAGAGTTGTTGAACTTTATTTTCTTTTGGACATTTAAAGCACAAATATTCACCAGTTGGCTGTCACAGCCACTGATTATTCCTTATTTATCTTTTCAGTTTTACTAAAACTGTTCTTCCCTATGAAGAATTCTATGGTATTGTGGGGGGGTTGGTTTTGCTTTGTATTTTTTGTTTGTTTGTTTGTTTGTTTAAGGCCTTTATTTGCTTCCTTGAAACTAAAGGAAGCATCACTTCCATTCCAGCACATCATAAAGTTCAGATCTTTCTAAGAATCTTCTCACACTGCAACATTAATGAAATGCATACTTTATTTTTTTAAAGATGTGCCTAAAACTGTCTGGTCTGGAACCAGTACTTTTTAAGTTAGTTATGTTGTTTAGTGGAGACTCCTGAATTTATATAGCCATTTATTCTTTACCTACATTGGCCTTGCATATAGGGAAAAAAATTCCAATATATCTGCACTAATGATACACAGGGCATCTATGGAATACTATAGATCTGTAAGGAGCAAGACTGAAGATAACTCTGTTTCAAATTATTTAACTATAATCTTAATAATACACATTTTATTTTAAAAAGATGGAAAATTTGTCATGAAATTACACATATTGAACAAGGTAGGTACATCAAAGTACCATCCTAATTCACTCTTCCGTGGCAAATGAGCATTTGATAAAAAGCAACTTAGTCAAATGTATCATTTATGATTTTATTTCAGTGTTCTGCAGTCTGTAATGAGTACCTTTTTAGCATGACTGTCATGTATGATCTTGTGTGCTCTAAACAAATTTTTAAGTCAGCAGTTACGGCTGCCGAGCTCGGCCAATGAAACAGTTCACTCAATAGTTAAAATGCTACATTTTTTAATTTTAACTTTGTTCTTCCAAGCATTGTGTCACTGCGGTGGTCCTCATGAAATTGGCATTTGTTGTATATCTGAACAGCCACTCAACTGCTGGTGTCCAGCAGCGCTCTGATGCTTATGCAGAGGTTAAATAACTGTGGCCATTGCCTATTCCTTCATGTATTTTTAAAATATTCAGACTGGGGGTCAATTCAGCTACCACAAAAGGTTCCACTTATATTGACTCTTGGTTTTATTTTCGTAAGCAATATTATTACTGGAGTAACTGTGTCTGTTTGCAAGGAACAAAACTGATGCTTGGATGTTATGGTAGAAAATCTGTAATTTAAGTTTGACTCCTGAATGAAATAGTAGACCTCGTACTGAGGTAAGGATACCTGCTCTCAAATATGTAAAATAATGTAAATTCCTGTTCCATGTATTCAATGTTTATTGTAGATAAAGCTGAAACTGTTCTTCAGCTGTCTTTTCCCTGAAGCTAACCTGGCTTCATTAGAATTGCAGCAAACTTTATTGGAGCCCCTTCCTCTTTTAAGAAAGGCTCAAAATGTATTTTTCATATAACTACAGTGACTCTCAAATCTTTTGTAACTGTGTTCAACTCTGTGTATGTAACTTAAGGTATTTGTGTAAAGTTTAATATGCTTGTAATGTCTCTTTAACACAAAAGGACTTTCCAGTCTTCTCGAATGAGATGATAGCTAACAGGTAGACAATAAGCTTGCCCGTTATCTTCCAAAAGGTGTAAAAAATGTTTACTAGTTAAACTTTCTACTGAATATAACTGTTGCATGCAAGAAATATGTAAGTACTAACATCTAGCATATACATAAGTCTTGAAATTAGCAAGCAGAGGTGAACTCAGCTATAGTGCTCTACAACTTACTGATTGTGGAGCGGAGAGAGGAAAATTACACATAGAAATTTCCCACGCAATATCTCCAGAAATAGTAGAATACTCCAGTTAGTATGAGTGTACTCGGGAAATGTAACTTTCCAGGAACTCATATTCTTGCTTGGTATAAAAAGAGTTTCCTCTAGCAGTTAACTTCTCACAAACTAGAAAAAAAAATGCTTTTGAACTCTGAGAGGTCTCTATTCAGTGGAAGTTTGTCTAGTTACAGTGGGCATTTGGACAGAACAGAAGCTGCAGCTTCACCTCATACAGTGGCAAGTTCTTGGGGTTTGTTTTCTTTTAGAAGAACAAACTAGGGTAAATAATATTACATTACAAAACGCTGTTTACTATTTTAAAGAGAACTGAACACTTGGTCCAGCACATGCAGTTTTTAAGCTCAAAAGCTGTACCAAGTACAGGCCAAAAACGACAGCACGAAGCGACCACGGTGCTTGTATTTCTGGAGCAAGCAAAGCGCTCCTCGAGTGACACCGTGGGACATTAATTTTGGACTGATGCCAGCCAGCCGCTTAGTGTGTGAGTCTTAACTTGGTACCTCTGTTGTCATCTGTGCAAACAGCCGTTCTGCAGAGATGCGCTAACTTATGTGTGTGTTCGTGTTTTCTGTTTCATTACACCCTGTGTGCTAGTATTTATCTCGTTACCTAAAAGCTGCCACCGTGTGGCAAAGAAGTATTACTACGTTACTGCTCAAAACACCCCAAACGGGACCCAAACAGAGCTATCTGCCAGCTTTACGTTTTCCCGGTTCTCTCCTCTTGCTTTGAAGAAAAATGTTGGTTTACGGGGGGGAGCTCTGTGTGCTGTGTAAATGCGCGGAGACCCCTCTCGGTAAGAGGCTGGGTATTTTTTTCTGTAAACAGCACTGTTAGGGTTGTGTCCTCGTCCGTTAATTTAAGCGTAGCCTGTTACCTATTTTTTCACCCGAATGAACTCGTGGAATTTCAGACGCTGTGAAATAAAACCCGTTTTGATACACGTTTTGTAACCAACCTGCCTGCGCTGCCCTGGTCTTTGCCGGAAGCTTCCCCGCCCTTTCCGTTTCCGCCGGCCGCGCTCCTTCCTTTTCGCCGCGCGCTCGCGTGAGGTAAGTGGCGCCGCGGCGCTCGGAGCGGCGCAACCGGGGCCGAACCGGGATGTTACGGGACCCAACGGGGCCTGGCGGAGCCCGGCGGCCCCGGGGGAGGAGAAGAGGGCCCCCATGGGGGTTTCCTGCGGGATTCCGGGTGGCCACGCGGGCGCTGAGGGGGAGCGGGGCCCGCGGAAATGGCCGCCCGCGCTGCCTCCCTCAGGTATCGCCCGCTGCTCGTGCTCGGCGTGAGGCGCAAGATGCAGAACGACGCCGGCGAGTTCGTGGACCTCTACGTGCCGCGCAAATGGTGAGCTGGGGTGCGGGGCCTGCTGTGCCCGGAGGCAGCTCCGTGTAACGGTAACCCTCTTCCTCCACCAACACAGTGGGGTTTTTAGCGTTCGTGGGGAAAAAAAGCACTTCCAAACTTCACTGAATGTGTAAGGGCCATGTCTAATGGAAGATGTATCAGAAATGATGGCATAGACTTTGAAAAAGACTTGATTCCCTTACTGCTTGAGTTTCCTCCAAAGTACAGAAATAACAAACTTTCAGACTCGGCTCTATCAGTGCAAACACAACACGTAACCACCCATTTGTGTTACGGAGCCCGTGGTGCCTCTCTGAACATCAACAGGCACTAGTGCAAGGGTGGTGTGGTGAATAGACAGCAAATCAGAAACATGGAGGTTGGCATGAAATGGCAGCATAATTTGGACACGTTTTATGTATATATATATATATATACATATATATATATATATATATGCATTGCTTAAATCCCTTAGATAAAGCACATGGAGACTAAAGTTCTCTAGGAGAGGTTGGACTTTTTCTGCTACATGATGCTTATCCTCGCAGTGGCAGCTGCTGACCTGCACTAACCTGCAGTTCCTTCTGGGAGAAATGCACGTGCTAATTTGTAGGACTGTAACATTTTTGCATTAAGAGCTCTCAGCCTGAACCTCTTGAATCATGTGTTGCCTTGATGCATCTTAAATGCAACATGGAGGTTGCAGCAGATGGGCAGTGAGGAGCTTTTTGTAAACATGTTCATTTAACAAAGTTAGCAGAGAAATGGCTTGTTTTATAGATTTTATAGATTTTTTTTAAGGTAAATGATCCCTAAAATGTGTGAGGTTTTTTTTGTTGTTGTTGTTGTTTTTCTTGTTTTTGGAGAACTGACATTAGACAACATGAGTGTCTTTGATAGCTGTGACAACTCCCAAAGAAGTTGCAGAAACTGCGTTCTCATGAATTACTTGGATTGTTCCTTTTTATTTTAAACCAGAACTGCCAACTGAACTGCTGTTCTCCTTTAAAAGGTCTTAAAACTGCATTAGCTTCTGAGAGTCAGCTGGAATGTCTGAAACTTCGACTGTTACGTCAAAACTTATTGTGCTGCTTTTATTTCTTGAAGATTTGGTTTTGAATGAAGTCTGTTCATTGTCACTGTCCTTTTCCCTTTTGTTTTAAATATTCATTCTGATTTTATTCCTCAGCTCTGCCAGCAACCGAATAATTGGTGCCAAGGATCATGCTTCTATTCAGATAAATATTTCTGAGGTAAGTTTTCTAATGGAAATAGCTGTTGAGAAAGCTGTTGCTTCAACTTTGGTAGAAGTTAGGAAATACTAAAGGTTTGAGGCATCTACAAGTGGCCCAGTAGCCCTCATATCTAAATAAAATTAGAGGACCTTCAAACATGTTGTATAATTAGGTCACCTCTGGCTATTTTTTTAACCTATTGGAAAATACTTAGTAGAGGGAAATTCATAAATTAATAAATAGTCTGTTCCAGTGCTTAACTGTTAGACTAAATAAAATTTCCAGACTCTAAATATTTAAAGTTGGAAATACAGGAATTTCATATCCTGAAGGGAATAAGCTTGCTTTTTGAAGTTTCACCTGTCTTTTAAACAATTAAAATTCTTCAGTCTTTCCTTGTGTGTCCTGTTTGTTAAATTTATATTTTGCTGATCTTCTCTGTGTTTTTTCTAACTCGTCCAAACTTTAAGATAATGTAGTTTCCCGAGCCCTTAACCCGGGTGCCATCTTCTGTTAAGCAAGCCACATGCCACCCAGTCTGCAAGACTGCAGAATTAAAAAAACAAGTAACTTCCATCTTT